AATTCTGGAGTCCATCCCAGAGCATTGAATTTACCGGCCATGAGTTGATGCGTTTTCGTAAACTTTTCATTCCAAAACTTTGTAAACGACGAGGGGATTAGAATATGTTAAGTGCCGTAATTAGGGGATTAAGAAGTTCATTATGGCCATTCAGATTGTGCACTCTGTGACCGCCACTACTTCCACGTGTTTTCGCGCCCTTATGATTATTTGTTCACGGTTCCCTCCCACTTTCTTCGTTGACTTGGGGGGGGTCTGCTCAGTGCCTCAATTCTGGGCCACGTTCAGAGCCTGAGTCAACGAACGGGTGGTTCCCTACCTTAGGTCTCCTAGGTTTTCATTTACCGCGTAATGGACTTGGAGGGTCCCACCCCTTAGTTGGGCTTTGTTCCTTTGGTCCCACGTCCCAGCGCCTGGGGCAATTTTTTATATATCGTCACCTGGCTTGTTTATGAGTTTTGGAAGTTAGAGTGGGCTTGACACTCGGTGAATTCGGCCGAGTGGAATATTTTTTACACCGATTATACAGGATATTTGAGTACTGGATGTGGGTTTTGAGTATTGGATGTGGGTTTTTGAGTATTGGGTATATGGGGTTGAGCATGTTAAGAATAAAGGTTACTACTGGATTAATTATTAGGCACTATTACGACTGGAGTTTGGATATATACCATCTCATATATTGTATTGTCGGGGACAAGGAGCGGATCTCGCCCCATAACTTAATCATACTGCGACGTGATAATAGCTTCAGTGAGAATATATTACTAATTAAAGATCTGATTTGCCTCACTCATGCTTTGATATTTATATAGACATTCTTTTTGCGATGTGCATTGGTAGACTCTTCAGATCAGACAATTCCTCAATAAGACAAGTCAAGTCGTCAAGTGGGTTCAAAAACCGGAAAAAAACCGTGTTGGGTTAGAAAAATAGTGGAAAAGCCATTAGCTTCATCTTACCTATAGCTCGCTCGCAGTGCTCTCCTACAAATCCTGCAGCACATGTACAGTTGTATGAGTTAACTTGGTCTTGACATGATCCTTCATTTTGGCAAGGATTAGAAGCACAATCATTGATATCTGGTGAAAGATATATTTGTCATTAATACATTAACCAATGTATTGATTTTGAAATTAACCATTTTTACCTGTCTGACAGTCGGACCCAGTAAATCCTGCAGCACATGTACAGTTATATGAGTTAACTTGGTCTTGACATGATCCTCCATTTTGGCAAGGATTAAAAGCACAATCATTGATATCTGGTGAAAGATATATTTGTCATTAATATATTTTTATACCAATCCACTAATTTTGAGATTAACCATTATTACCTGTCTGACAGTTGGTCCCAGTAAACCCTGTAGCACATGTACAGTTGTATGAGTTGACTTGGTCTTGACATGATCCTCCATTTTGACAAGGATTAGAAGCACACTCATCGATATCTGTTTAAATATACATTTTTCATTGACCCCAATTCAAAATCCAAAATGAAGGCCACATTTTAAGTCATATTTATAGGAGAGGCTGCGGCTTCTCAACTTTTAGTCTGACTCGTATGCCCCCCCTCCCTCCCTACTTATTTTATTCTCCCTTCTCTTCTCTTCTCTTCTCTTCTCTTCTCTCCTTTCGTACAAAGATGTATACTACATTCTGATTATAAATTTAATCAATAAGGACCGCATTAAATATGGAGTATCCCCTTAACAGTACGAATTCAAAGTTCACTGTTACGTCATCCAAGTATGCAAGATACAGTTTACTCACTCGTTTGGCATTGATCTCCAGTAAATCCAGGTTTACATTCACAGCGATGCGTGTTGTCAACAAAGTTATATCTGCATGTCGAGTCTTTAGGACAGTCGCAGGTGTTCTAAAAAGAGAAGAGAAATTGGATATAATTAATAGAATTTGACATTGCATCATACAAAATAAAATGATTTGAAATTAGTCTTTCACAAGCGGACATTGCGGTTCACGAACTATAGGAAATAATTTGATAGTTTAAAAACCTAGTTCTTCAGAATGTCAGCTGCACACTGGAGCTGTTAATATTCGCATCCAATATAGATTGCAATATTTTATCTTTTTCATATGCAAGTTTTTAGAAATGGTTGTAATATACATTACTGTGCGAAACCAAGGCCACCCAGATAAAATTTCATGCAATATAATTGTACAAATTTTCACATTTTCCTCTTTAAAATCATATATATGATCAGAAGTGAACAAGAAACAGTTGGAACTTGTAGATAAATTGGATCACCGTAAAAAGCTTTGTGAAACTGACGTTTCGGACGTTAGTCCTTCGTCGGAGTAAGTCAAGAAACAGTTATTAAAAAAACAGAATTCACTAATTCATCTGTTATGTAACGTTAAAAATGTGATTTGCGAATTTGATTTAAAATCTGTTCGGGGTGGCCTTGATTGGTGTAGTCGCACTGTAAAAAACATAGGAATAGGTTTTAAAATATGACTATGAGCTGGAAAACCCGAAATGGTACTGTCATACTCCTTAATTTAATTATTCATTTTATTAGCTTTCCTCCCGAGTATCTCACCTGAGCGCTTCGGTAGATGACACCAGGTCTGTCCACTAGATCTTCAGGATGCATAAAGTGATCCGAGTCACTCAGCTCACACATGTGTTTCTCTCCACTCGCAATTGTGCCAAAGCTGTAGGATATACAGCGATCATCCAAGAAACACTGGGATTCGCAGTGCGCATCGTTCGTAGCTCGTACGGTTTTAAAGACATGATTGGCCAGCGTCTTACCTTCAAGAGTCTCTTTAAAAACCATATCTTTTCCACAGGTATCTGCATTGACTAAAAGATGAATACATTAAAAACAGCAATGAACGCAGAAAACACCAAAATACATTAAGCTATCCATGGGATAGACCTCTCCCAAATTTACTTGTGGGAGCTAGAAAATAATATAATATGGTTCCAAGTGAAATTAGACTTGATGTGTTAATACATTTACTAGTGTATTAATCGAGGACAACCTCGACAAGGAAACGAGGTTCATGGTATTATTACCACCCCTCCCTAATCATGATCTACTATATCATCCCTCCCATGTTCATGGTATTATTACCACCCCTCCCCTAATCATGATCTACTATATCATCCCTCCCATGT